CACCCCCCCTTTTCCGTTTCAGGTGGATTGGTCTTCCTTCTGAGTACTTTGTGTTTCCTTTGTGCTCTTGCCGATTATTGTTGCTGCAGTATACATGTCCGTGCGAGGGTGCTAGGGTTTGTGCTCCAGGTGCTTGGAGTCGCTGCCCGGGGTAATTGCTACGAGACCCGGTTCTTCGCATTCGTGCTTCTCGTTGCACATGGTGTGGGCTCGATGCTTGCGTATGCCTTGGATCGCCGATCTCGGATCGATTACTTGAAATCGTTGCCAGAGTTCTTCTTGAAAGCAATCCTAAGGGACCCAACGCGGTACTCGGGGGTGCGAGAAGAAGAGGAGTCCCTGAACATTTGTGCAGAGAAATTTTGGAAGGTCTTCTGCCCTAATCTCCCCCCAGGGTTGAACAACAGCAACGAGTTTGTTTCAAGGGCCCTTCGCACAGCTAGGGAGAACTCGCAGGCCCGCGCAGAAGACATGGTTCGTCTTGGACATGGTGGAGGAGGCAGAGGAAGAGGAATGTGCTGCTGTAAGCGAAGAGCAGCCAGCGGGCTTGCTGGGGGATTCTTTGGCGTGTCTGACGTCTCGACCGAGAACAACAGTGGTGCGCATCATTGCAAAGAAGTGTACCAGGATTCTCAGAAGCGACCCGGAATCTTGCAATCGGTCAACTCTTCTGGGTCAACAGACGGCTAGCTTACCTGCCGCCCTTTAATGAAGTGTTGACTGGTGGGTCACCAGCAGGCCGATGGATGCTCAAGGACAACAGTGCAGATCACTTGCGATGAAGTCAACTGTTCTCGGAAAGGTTCGGGAAATGCGCCGTCAATCAACTCATTTGGGTCAGCAGCTGGCTAGCTTACCTGCCCGCCTTTTAGCAAACTGTTTGACTGGTCGGTCAACAACAGGCCGGCCGATGCCCAAGGACAACAGTTCAGATCAGTGGGATGACGTCAACAATTCTCAGAAAGGACCTGTCAATTTGTTGGCAATCAGCTCGTCTGGGTCACCAGCAGGCTAGCTTACCGGCCGCCTTTTGTCGAGGTGTTTGGCCAGTCAACGGGAGGCGGACAGACACCCGAGGACGACAGTGCAGATCATTGCATTGATGTAAAAAATCCTCAGAAACGAGCTGGAGCTTCCCCGTCGACCTACTCGTCCCGGTCAGCAGCCAGCTAGTTCACCCATTGCATTGTAGCCAACCGTTTGCCCGGTCAACGACCGGCCAACGGATGCTCGCGGTGCAGATCTCTGTGATGGTGTCAATGACCTCGCAAACGACCTGGAGTTTCGCCATCCATCAGCTGATCTGGGTTAAGTTTGCTAAGTTGGGCTGACTCACCCATCGCACTGTAGCCAACCGTTTGACCGGTCAATGACAGGCCGATGGCCCGATGGATGCCCGAGGACAACAGCGCAGATGATTACAATGATCTCAACGACTGTCGGAAACGAGCCGGAAACGAGCCCGATGGATGCCCGAGGACAACAGCACTGATCAACTTATCTGGGTCAACAGCCGGCTAACTCACCGATCGCATTGTAGCCAACCGTTTGACCAGTCAACAACAGGCCAACGGATGCCTGAGGACAACAGTGCAGGTCATCGCAATGATGTCAACGATTCTTGGAAACGAGCCGAAGTTTCCCTGCCAATCAACTCGTCTAGGTCGGCAGCGGCAAGCTCTCCCGTCGCACCGTAGCCAACCATTTCACGGGTCAACGACAGGCTGACTGATGGACTGATCTCGCAACTACCCACCAGCACTGGACCGTTCCCCGAATGATGAAGTGATGACCAGATCACTCAATGATCCATCCGCCCAAAAGCAAGAAAACGGAAAGAAGCTAGTAGCTTCCCAGTCAATTGGTTCACCATCTGTTGACTACCAGTCAGTTGACCAATTGAGCACTTCCACGTCAGTTTACCACTTGACCGTCAATCGATTGGTTGACTGTGTGTTGGGCATTTGACCCCCTCTTAGTAGCTACAAGCTGACTGCCAGTCAACTGGTCAGTCAATTGGTAGTCAACTGACAGTCCACTGGCAGTCAACTGGTCAGTCAACTGGTAGTCAACTGGCAGTCAACTGGCAGTCAACTGGCAGTTAACTGGTAGTCAACTGGCAGTCAACTGGCAGTCAACTGGCTGTTAACTGGTCGTCAACCGGCAGTTAACTGGCCGTCAACCGGCAGTTAACTGGCCGTCAACCGGCAGTTTACTGGCCATCAACCGGCAGTCAACTGGCAGTTTACTGGTAGTTGACTGGCAGTTAACTGGTAGTTGACTGGCAGTTAACTGGTAGTTGACTGGCAGTTAACTGGTAGTTGACTGGGAGTTGACTGGCAGCTAACTGGCAGTCAATTGTGCGTTACTTTCTGTTGGCTTTTACCACAGTTGTCTATTAGCTTGTGCCAGTAAACTGCCACTTGAGTGGCACTGCTTAACTGCCAGTAAACTGCCAGTTGAGTGGAACTGCTTAACTGCAGTTAACTTCCAGCTAACTGCAGTTAACTGCCAGTTGACTAGCAGTGCTTAACTGCCTGCAATTAACTGCCAGCTCGCTGCATTTAACTTTGACGGTTCTGACTGAGAGTTAACTTCAGGTTGACACACCAGTCAACCGGATGTCTCCACCACTGGTTGACCATCAGCTAGCCGTCAGTTGACTAGCACTGCACCAAGTCAACGACCGCAAACCAAGTACAGGTCTCCGCTGCAATTTTCCGTTTATCGGTTCCTTGAACGTTCCTAAGCCCTTAGCCTTTTTTTTTTTTTTGAAGTTTTGCAACTGTTTTGAAATTTTTCTTACCTTTTTGCTAATTATTTGGTATTCTCCTTCTGGGGTCTGATATTGTTTTTTTCAAAAAAAAAAAAATTTTTTTTTTTTTTTCTTTGCAATTCTTTTACTTCGTTCTTTTGTGTGTTGGTTTTTCCCTTTGTGATTCCCGTTTTCTGTGAGTGGCCTGTCCTTGAAAATGCAAAATGTATGCTGCGACGCAGCTGCGTCTTTTTTTTTTTTTTTTTTTTTTTTTTTTTTTTTTTTTTTTTTTTTTTTTTTTTTTTTTTTTTTTTTTTTTTTTTTTTTAACGCACTTTTTCGATTTTGTTTCTTTTGGAAAAAAAAGAAAAACTCGTTCAACCGGTGGGGGGATGACCTCGAGGCATAGAGCCCAGCCGCTACTACCACATGGATCTTTTTATTAAAAAAAAAAAAACTCGGCTGGGCTGTCACTGTCTGGAACAGCAGAGAAAGTAGGTGGCAGGGTTTTTTTTTTTTTTCTGGGAACGGCAGCAGTTTTATGTTCCTATCATCCGATGTTCTTTTTTTTTTTTTTTTTCGATTTCTTGTTTTTTTTCTACTTTTCTTTTTTGGTTTCAGCAAAGTTCGGCTTTGCAAACTGTGTGATTCGGATTGTACAATGTGTCAGGGTTGGGATCGGGATTGCTATGGGGATCGCAATTGGGATTCTCACTTTTTTCCACTTTTTTGAAGTTCTCTTTCCGTCAACCTTTTTCAAGTTTTTCATTCTTTTCGTGAATTCTGCACACTTTAGGGTTTAGGGAAAAGATGAGGTGGAGCGGAAGGGGTCCACAGACGAGAAGAGGGGTCTAAATATAGCCCCCACAGATATATGGACTGCTAGCAGCACCATTTTTCTGACGGGATTTTAACACCTGCGGCTTGATAAATACGCCATTTTTCTGTCCGTGGACGGCGTGGAGCAAATATATTTGCCTAGCTCATTGAAATTGCAGCAGGAACCTGGATTTTAGAGTTTATATCTAATCAAAACATTGAGCTTCTTTTTTTTCCCTTTTTTTCCCTTTTTTTTTCCCTTTTTTCCCTTTTTTTTCCTTTTTTTCCCCTTTTTGTTCTGAGTTTATTTCTGAGGAAACTTGCATTATTTGCTTTGCACAACTTCTCAATCAATTACCTTATTCAAACTGTTTTCCTTTTTTTCTAATGTTGTTGTTTTGTTTGAAATTCCCCCTTAAAAACGATCTTTTATAGTTTTATTTAGAATGGGCCAAGTACCCAAAGGCTTTTCATCAGCGATAAACGTAAATGGGTATTGAATGCTGTGCATGCGCATTTGATTACGTGCGGTCCCTACCCGCACCGCACTGCACAGCGCACTTTCTGCATCGCACCCCAAAAAAGTTAAAAAAACCCAAAACACAAATTCTGAGAACCGAAAAGAGCTAACAAACGCTATTTTGACTCTTTTGAGCCGCCTTTTTTTTTTTTTTTTTTTTTTTTTTTTTT